ATAGAAGGCCTATTTGATATCAATGTCAGAGGAAAGGATGGTGTTGTTGATGAGGAGGTGAGGAATGAAGTTTTTCCTTCTGTGGTAGGAGGCTGATTTGTAAAAAAAAAGCTGTATTATTATCTCCCTTTTTAAGCCATTGAATCCTAGATCTTTGTTTCCATTGGATCTCTTCGGCCCTAGCCAACAAGAAAAGTTGTTCTTTGAGGTTTAATCTAAGTTGAGATTCTGGGTCAGAGAGGGCTCTAGTTTCCTCTAATCGATTGAGGGTGTCAAGTTTGGGCATGTCATTGAGTTTGAGTCGGTTAGTGGATCCAAAGACGTGTTTCTTCCACCATTTTATTCTTCTACGGATGAGTTTAAGCTTAAAGGGGAGAGAGGCCGATTGATCTCCATAGAATGAGAAAGAGTTCCAACACGATTGAATGAATGGGGTGAACGATGGGAAGATAAGCCAGGATTGGCATGTTTTTGCTTTTTGCTCAGTCATTGCATTATATGTGACAATTGTGATTTATTTGTTTGTTTAAATAATTTTGATATATGGCTATAACCGACTCTTAAACTTCGGCCTTCAGTAACCCGTTAGGAAGTATGCTATAGAAGTCTTTTTGAATAATATTTTTTTAAACTCTTTTTCACATTTTCTTCATATCATTCTCTTTGCCCAATTCAACATAACTAATTAGATTTTATAACTTTTAAAAGCCCATTAAAAAAATATTTTTATCTGAAAAACTGTGAAATCTTTTATTTTAAAAAACTTTAAAAACTACATAGACCCGTGCATGGCAGCGGAGCTAAAACTAGTTACAGTGAAAAGATGTCCTCCGTTCCTTAAAGTTTTTGTGCAGACACTATCTTGGATTGTAAATTTGTAATTGATCATTGTTGTTTTTAATATGTAGACCTCTTATATCATGGGAACCATGGACCATGCTTTGCCAGCAAGGATTCTATATATTAAGAAACCCTGTAAAAAGAGGGAATATACATCATTCACAGATAGCCAGAGGATTAATCTAAGAATTACAATTCTTCTAGTCTAGATAGCCTCATTTCTTTAAGGGCAATCCTATTAATGGTTTGCATCATTTGTAACCATTTCAAGTTCGATCTTTGGTTAATATTAAATGAAAAAATAAACCGCATGGCTGTACTACGTACAGAATTATATATCAGAATATTATAAACTGGCCAGCCATAAGCATTAACCAAACTAGTTTTTTCTAAGGCTTGGGAACTAATATTTAAATTTGGAATGTTGATTTAAAATTCATGATTTGATAGAATCTTTTATTTGGATATTTTTACAAAATGCAAGGATTTGAAATCAAAGATTTGAAATATAGTGTTTGGATACACTTCATTATACATGAACTTGGATTTCAAAGATAATGGGGAGCATTTTGTGAACAATTTATGACATATACACATAGTTAACATATCATCTGAGTACCATGCTACTTAGCCCAAACCTTTTTAAAAGGAAGAAAGATTTGTCATGCACAAATAAAACTTTGAGAAGTGATTCAAAACCAAAATTGATCACCTCGATAGAAATTATAAATACTCATGCAAACATCTCATCCTTCACGAATTGATACGAGAGAATACAAGCAATAGTACTAATGCCCAAAATATTTATTATAATAGCATTTTTTCATGATTTTATCCACTACCACATTGACCTTCAATCTCCAAAATAACAAAAGTACTACTTTAAAAATTAACCATGATAAAAGACTTGACAACACAAAAGAGTATAGCGAACAATCCACATAAGAAGCTCTAGGCACACAATAAGTCTTCATTTAAAACACAACGTACTATAGGTGGTAGATAACCATGATTTTCTACAACAAGCTAAATTAGCACAACATAAACTACTAAAAGAAACCATAACAAGAATCGTCTATTTATCCTTCAAAGTCTTCTCCTCCTTTTTCTCCTATGCTTCCAACCTCATGTCTCGGAGAACTTATTGGATCCTACATGAAAAAAATTTAGCATCAATTAGTTCATGAAACAAAATACGCTCTAAAACAGAAATAATATCTACTACAAAGGCAAATCACAACTATAAGTGTGCATCCTCTAACATAAATGACAAAATAATTGGAGTTAAATATGCCCTAAAAAAGAAAAAGAAATCCAAGAGAGAACTTACTCGAATGGGGTTCAACAACATACTGCTAGGGCCTGTCTAAAGTTTGAATACTCATCTAAGCTTGCTACTCCTCAGCTGATGTTACAACGAACTTGAGTATGAAACACCAGAAAACTTCATCCAAGTCCATCCTTCACCTTTTGAAGTATAACGATGTCGGACAAATTTTCAAAACCAACCTTTTTTTGGTTTTTATTTGCAAAAACCGACCGCTTTTGAAAATAATTACAAAAACCGACCTGTTTTCAGCCCAGCGCTGAAAACAGGTCGGTTTTTGTAAAAAGTTTTCCGAAACATCACGGGAGTTCAACTCCCGTGAAGTTTATCGACAAATTAAACTTCACGGGAGTTGAACTCCCGTGAAGTTTAATTCCTTCATAAAACTCCATGGGAGTTCAACTCCCGTCGAGTTACAGTCAAATATCCCCCCACCCACCGATGCCGATTTATCCAGAAGAGGCCCCATTGACGCTGATCTCGCCAGTCAAGGTCACCTTGACGACGATCAAATTAAGTTCCCCCGACGGCGAGTTGAAGTTTAATTTGTCGATAAACTTCACGGGAGTTGAACTCCCGTGATGTTTCGGAAAACTTTTTACAAAAACCGACCTGTTTTCAGCGCTGGACTGAAAACATGTCGGTTTTTGTAAATATTTTCAAAAGCGGTCGGTTTTTGCAAATAAAAACCAAAAAAGGTTGGTTTTGAAAATTTGTCCTAACGATGTGAGCATGAATATCCTGCCTGATTTAAGAGAAAGAACACAACCACCTTTCAGGAAAAATAAAAGTTCCCCTTAACTCATCAGACAATGGAGCATGGGTTCAACAAGCAAAGAGGACGAAAAGCAAAATGATGTGTCCTCTTATGGACCAAGTCAGTGTACATCACAGTCAAATTAGAGAAGTCTCTCCAAAAAGAGGTTACTACTCTTGTGTTCTGCAGGCTACCACTACATTAATTTGTTGAACCAGTCTTGATGATGATTTGCTTAGAGCCCAAATATAGGTGACTCTTAAATCGTAACGCATCTAAACGTACATTGGCTATCCTCTACAATGAATATGAGAACAAATAAAGGCTATTAGGCCGCCATTCATGCATGAAGGGCAAATCTTTGGTACAGTATAATGTTGTTCCACTGTGAGCTAGATTAACAAATTTTGGCTCCTACAAGCCTAAGATATTTAAATTGACATATTGTAAACAAGGGAAATTATAAGAAACCCCCTTCATGTATATCCTGTTTTTCAGAGACCTCCCTCATCTATGTTCATCAACGAGATCATTAGTTTTGTAAACTGAGTCTAGCTCTTTAGATGCCTGAATGCAGAATTCTGGGTTAAAGATAAAAAGATTAGATACCTTATCTAAAACTATTTTTCACTCAAAATTTTCCTTTTAATTCCCAAAAGAGATTAATGGGTATCCTTGTCATAGGAGGAGATTTCTCTCCTTGTCGCCTATGTGGCACAATCCCCACCATCCTCATAAAGTAGGCACAAATCCCCACCAACTCACACTCTCTCTCCTACTTTATGAGGATGACGGGGATTGTGCCACATAAGCGTCAAGGAGGAAATCCCCTCCTATGACAAAGGATACCATTAATCTCTTCCCAAAATCTATAAAAATTTGAAGTGCCGTGTGTCTTTTACGAAATTGTCAACATTCCCTTTGCCTCTTCTGGACCTAGTCAGTGTACATCGGCTTCAAATACTTAAAAACTCACAAGAAACTAAGCTCCATTGAAAACTATTTGTGTCAAGGTTTGGAGGTAAAAACTAATAATAATAAAATTCAATGAAGAGGGTTGAATACAACTATTATATATCTTAAAAAAGAGTAGTTTATGATATTTGTTTCTGTCACAAAAGTATCTCTGCTGATATATAAGCAGACCACCTTTGGTCCAAAGTTAACAGCCTTGCTCTCAAAAAAAAAAAAAAATTGTCTTTGCTAAGCTGTTCATCCCTTTGACAGGAAGAAGGGAGGCCTAAAATTCTTTGGTCCCTGGTCTCCTACAATCAAAGGTAACCACTCTTTAACCTATCATATTAAAAGGAGTGACAATCCAGATTAAAAAACATAGATCTCGAACACAAAATGGGCGAGCTCTCGTTACTCTATTTCGTAACTGAAACCATAGTTTAAATGGGTACTTTTGACTTCATTGAGCTAAGCTTATTAGTTTAAGCTCTAATCTTTAGTTTACCACAATCAGTCAAAGCTCAAATGTAACCTTTCATTCTTCCCAAAATGTCCCAAAGAACGGCACAATTCAAATAAAAGAAAGCAAAATAACAATGACTCGAAATTCAAGCAATGAAATTAAATCACACAAACCACTAGAGGAAAATAATTAAATCAAAACTCGAAATTCAAAAATGGGCTTGCCCACCACAATCAAAAAGTAAATTAAAATCACAATAAAATAAAAAGAACAAAATTCTCAATAAAATGAAAAAAAAAATTATACCTTTGAGATAAGACAAGCACTCCTTACTCGAATTAGCTATCAAATTCACCAAACCCTAATGCATTCATAATGAAATCATCAAAAAAATTAGAAATAATCGGTTAAAAATATTGTTCAAATAACATAATATAACTTAGATAAATAGTAGTTAATCTTAGACATAACTTACATTAGAGTTGAAAACGTCATCGAACAACTTCTCATAAATTCTTTTAAGAACCTATTTCACAACTATACTAACCAAGCAAAACAACTCAAAAATTTTCATTTCCACATAAAAAAATATTTTCCCATATTCTCATGTTCTCAATTCTAAAATCAATTTTGAATTCTTACTTGCAAAAGAAAAACGAGTATGAGACGACAACTCAGTTTACTTAAAATGCTACATATCACATGTGAAGTAACAATTAGATTTATCTTGCTAACCAGGATATCAGCATCATTCATATGTTTGCTCATATTCATCATATATAGACATAAACAACATAAAAATATAAGTTTACCCGATATCGGTCTGACCGCCTCTGGCGGCAGCGCCGTGGTCCTCCCCTCCTTTGCTGCATCCTCCTCGTCCTCTGCCGTCGTCCTCCCGCAATCAAACACAACCTTCTCCTCCTCCTCGGCCACCTTCACCTCCTCCTTCACCTCCTCCCTCTCTGTCGTCGCCGCCGCCGTCCCGTCAAGAATCTCAAACACCTAGATCAGATCTAGGTTTCGGCGGAAAGGGGAGAGAGAAGAAAGGGGGAGACCTAAACCCTAGATCTGATCTAGGGTTTTGACAATAGGGGGATGGAGAGGGGGTGGGAGGAGAGAGAGAGGAGAGATAGAGGTTACCTGCATTGAGAGTGAACTTGAGAGTCGGGAGCGGGATTGATCAGGACTAAGAAATGAGAGAGAGGAGTCCGGTCGGGATTTGGTAAATACTAAGGGCAGAATGAAATTTGAAATATGTGTACTTGGGCTTTCAAAATCATCTCAATAAAATAATTTGATTTAAAATCTCAGCCCAACTTAGAATTTGAATTAAAGATTTGGATTTGAAATATTCTGAATTTTTAATCCTAGATCCCCTCAGGCCAACTTAGAATTCAAACTAAAGATTTGGACTTAAAATACCCTGGATTTTAAATCCTGGATCCAAAATTCTGATTCCCAAACGCAGCCATAGTATAAATCACAGATTCACAAATATATATAAGTTGTGCCATCAACCAAACTACTAAATCACAGATTCGCAAATATATATAAGTTCTGCCATCAACCAAACAAAGTTTTCTATATCGGGGTATTATAAATTGGCTTTTGTGATTAACCGAGAGTCGTCAACATCATCAGATTTGATTTCTCAATATCAATCTCACAACATTAAGTCTAGCAATTACCCAAATTTATCATCAAAATGCTCAAATCTTTTCATATGTATCTACTATCTATGGAAGCGTGCATTAAACAATTATTTGTTTGATTCTCGCACTTTCATCTATCATTCAAGGCTTCCTCTATCTTCTGGTGACATTCTCAGGGGAGTCTCAACCCTGTGTATAAAATTAAAGTTAGATATATTAAAAAAAATCAATTTTAAATTGCAATATGAACAATAAAACTATCGGGATTAAATCCTATACCCAAATCACCTACCCGAGCAGACCCAAAATGTTTCTGAATGGGGTTCGAACAGCTGGGACATCTCATTGAATATCTGGTCTGCTTTGTTAACACATTTAGCCTCATGATAAACACTAACAGACAATTGATATATACAATACCAGGGACAACTTATTATTCTACATGGAAAATCCAATGAATTAAACAATACCAACTTCACAGATCCAGAGAGGAAAAATAATTGAAAAAACAACGCGAGGACCTTGTTTGCTAGCGGAGATTAGTTAATAATCAAGGATATACCAAGTAAAGATGGTCTACCAAATAACACACCTTTACAATTAGCTAGTTTGTGCGTCACTAGTTAGAGGTGAACCACCATGTAGAATATGGCTTTCTTAGCCAATTTATTCTCTTCAAGTAACAACGGAAACTCGAAAATTTCATACATATCAGTAAAAACAATATAATATTGTTTGTCTAAACTAGAAATCTAGCTTGGTTTATGATTCCATCCTTGGATGTAATTCTCAATGGTAATTCATTCACATACTCAATTTGACTTTGCACAATAAATTGCTCTATATATCTAATTTACCTTGCATACTCAAAAAATCCAGAACAGACCATGTTTGACCGAAACTATTGAATATTGGACAAGATGTACAAAGCGATAAAGGATTGAGAGGCTCTCTGTCCAATTTGGTATAGCTGATGCATAACGGTATCGGTTGAACTTTTAAAATGTGGTACTGAGTAAACTCCAATCAGGCCAATAACACAATGATGATACAATGAATCCCTTAATGCGGCCACGCCATGTGAAGGGAGAACATGCGGAGGAAGTGAAGGTGAAAATATAACTATTGAAAATATAAGCTGATATGATAAGTGCATCAGAAATAGAAACATATAGGGACCATTTTCAACTTATAAAGGCTATTATTAGTAAATTTCAAAAAATGTACGAGCTTTTAAAATAAATATGTATGTGTACACACACCCGTCATAGTCCATAAAGTGGCAAGAAGGAAAAACTAAGTATAACTTTAGTTGCTCGCTGGGGTGGAACTAGCATATGGAGGATGGTGTCAAGTGACACCCACCCTAAATCATTCAATAAATTAAGTATATGTGTGCCTATACATTAAAGTGACACCTCTAAATCAATTTAGTGAGTTGTGACCCATTAACTCTAAATGGGCCAAGCCTAAAAATCAAAGTGATCCTAGAGCCCATTCACTTAAATAGGCCACAATTTACAACATATCAAAGAGCTATCATCAATGTTGAAAAAGAAAAAATTAAAATTACAAAAAAATAGTATAAGTTTGCATTGAAAAGGATCTATTAAGTGGTATTTCGAACGACAGTTGTTATGCTAATGATTTCAAAACATGAAAACATGTGGGGGTCAATTCTAATTGTATTTGGTTAAATATCTTTTGTATCTCATTAAAATTCTTGAATATACTAAATGTGCGAGGAAAATTAGTAATATCGTCTTCTTATATATATTGTGACACCAATTTTATGAATTTCTGACTCCGCCACTGATTGCTCCATGTCTGTCTCATTTCCAATTTCCTGATATTCTAGAAAACTAATTTTCTTCGGAAAGTTCACTTATAAACAACAACCTAAATAAAAACTAGCTAAAATCTCCGGTGAGAATCATGCTTTCTTGCATGCAAAATAGGAGAAAACTAAGAAGCAATCATGCGTGCTGCTCAAATTAAGTTGACATCTGTTGACCAGGAACGTGTCATCATACGGACGTGCCATCATACGGATGTATCTCCCTTGAGGATGCCTAGGTTTTTATTTTTAGCTAGGTATAAATGTCTATAAGTCAAGAGGTACAGAGAATTTTGAATAAAGTGAGTTGTTTAATTTCTACCTCAGTTTGCGCTGGTGAATCAATAGATTTGGGTTTTTTCCTAAAGATTGGAACATTGTCGTCAGCACAGTAATGGGCGACGACCTTAGCTTCATATTGATCGATGTTTGCAAGTGATGGTATCTTCATCGTCAAAGGTGATGTAATAGTTGAGAGGGGAAGCAACCTATGCATTATGGTTGATGACTTTCGTGATATTGAGACGGAGCTCCTTGGCACCCTATAATAATAAGTTCAATAATTATTTACATGGTCTCGTTAGATACCCGTATTGGAGGAAGAAGAATAAGCAGCAGCACCTCTTTCAGTCTCTCCTTGTTACGATGGTTGATGGCAAACAGGGCATATTTACAAATTATCTCCACAGGGTAACCATTCATAGTGGGTTTGATGAGACCAAAAGTAAAAACATAGTGTAACTCAGGAACCTCAAATCCCTAAAGAATAATTTAATTAATTAATTGACAAATTTCAATGGATTTTAGGGTTAGGGTTAAAGGGGTTTACATCGTTGCGCTTCATAGCGTCCCTATAGGTTTCCCACTCTTGGTCGATCATCTCATTGGGACCATCGTTGTAGAACTCGTCGAAAAGAGCTTGACAACAACACCACTCCTCGCCCTGCTCAATACTGTAAATACATACCTCCACTATCGTCCTCATCTCCTCATCCATGGAGTCTTCTTTTCTCTTATCAAAGGGGCAATTCCTTTCGTACATCATCACTCTTTGCTTTATATACTCAAAGGCTCTGATGATAGAATCGATGTAGCATCCAGCAGTGTCGATTTTACACTGAGGCGAATAATGATATGCGTAGCAGTTGATAATGTCTTGGGGTGCAAGTTGGATCAATTGTCGATTCATATGAGTGGTTTTTTCTTTTGCTTCACAGCAAGTGCATGCCGTTATACACCAACAGCAACCTAGATATAGTCAAAAGCAATAGTCAAAAAGTGGCATCACTCTATTAAGAACAAAAGAAATACAAACAAGGGCATTGATAACAACTGATAAAGCAACACAATCATATAAATAGTTAATTATTTCAGAAAATACCCCTCTTTAAATGATAAATTTCGAGAAAAACACATGTTTTGTCTCGCAAGTGCTCAACTAAAAGCAGATAAAAATAAAAAATAAATTGAGATTTATTTTTTACTTTTGACTCCCCCAAAGTTTATCCACTTTTTCACTTTAAAACCACAAATTATTTCAACACTTTCATACCCTATAACTTCAATGTCATTTCACTTTGATACTTCAAAGTACCTTTTGAATTGAAATTTCCAAAGATTCAAAAAGATTTTAAATAGACCAAGATATATTACTTACTATGAATCGGATAGGAAACTCTAGCTAGAAGTTATTTTCTGTTGGGAGGTAAACTGGAATCTCGGCATGTTAGACCGTAGTCATCGTCTCCACATTGCGTGCCCCAACTGTTCATTATTTTCCAATATAATTAATCTCATCTTTTACACCATATCCAACAACAATAGCGAGCAACCCCCTCCACTACTATTGTCAGGAGACCTGTAAACTTTTTTAGTCTGAATAGATAGAATGAAACAAATTACACTAATTAATATCCGAACTAATTATTCAGTTTTGAATTTATGTAAAAAACATAAAGATTTTCACAGTAATGACTTTTGACACGGATCTTAATAAGAATTTCGCAACAGAAAAATAACTATATAAAAAGAACAAAAACTACTCACCTTGCGCTTCTTAAATGTAGGTGCGACTTTTATCACAACAGCGATGGGGTGATCATTGACACGCAATAGCATAGTTTGTTCGTCCCCAATTTTAATTTCCTTATAAACCAAAATCCGATATATTGGTGTGTTCTGAAAAATAAACAAAATTCAATCTCATTTTGATATATTTCACTTTGATACCTAAAAGTACATTTTTACCATTTTGATATACCAAAGATTCAATCTCATTTCATTTTGATATCCCTATCTACTTATCATTAGATTTTGTATTAAATATGCATCACGTGCTTACCAACTAGGTAAAAGAGATTTAATGCATAACATGTTAAGGACATAGTATAAATTTAGTAGGAATCTAACATAAAATGGACAGGGGGAATCAATGTGCAACTTAATTGAAACTTTGGGTTATCAAAATGTCAAAGAAATATCTTGGGGGTATCAAAATGAAATGGGATTTACACTTTGGAGTATCAAATTTTGGAGTTTCAAAGTGTTACGAAGATACTTCTTAAAAATATATTAGAAGATACAATATATCCTTTGTCCGGCAAATGCACGTAAGATGTCAGCTTATTGAGCTTTTAGACACCAGATATGCATTTAGTTTTGCATACTTGGTTGCGGCACGAATCGACGAGCTTCATGCAAAACTCTATCTACAAGTTAAGAAAATATTTGACAAGAACCTCTTGATTTTTTCACGCAACATTGAATGAGCTTCTTATTTTTTTTGACAATCGTATTATTAGGTAGTACTTCACCGCATGTGATGTGTGCCTCACATATTGCATAATTGTGTTGAGTAAACAAAATATATCATTAACACATGCTAATACAAATAGGTGTAAAAACATTAATGCAAATAACCCGTCAAAAATTTTTAAAAGAAGTTTCATTTTTAGGTTTCAAACAATAGTCACTGAAGATGTATGCACGCAATAAATCAACAGAAAGTATGAATCTTTATTTTGATAAGATAGTTGTGGGTTTTAAGTTTAAAAATAATTTAGCTAGTCATGAATTAATTCAGATATTAATATATATTGTATGTACTATTCAGTACACGCAATGCGTACATGTCAAGAATATTGTTCACACCTTAACTATATGTTAGGCTTGAATAAGGACTCCTATTGAACCACAACTAATGTTATCACAAAATGATTAAACACAGTCACTAGCCCACTCCAACAAGTGAGAGAACCTGTCATTTGTAGACATTAAAGATCAAATCTATTAGTATTCCTTAAACCGACATGATACATGAAAATAAAGAAAACCTACAATCAATAAATAATAATTTTCAAGAAAAAAATGTTCCTATTTCTAACTCATGAAAAAAGGTTCTCGATGAGGATTGCGAACATTGATCTAGGGTTCATAGGGGCTTCTTTAGCTTCTCCGGAGGAGCAATTTGAGATAGCTCTAGATGAGTACAATGAAGGCTTGAGCTCAATGTTAATGGAGAGCAAAGTCCTTGGACCAAAGAGGACGTACATTATCAATGCAAGAGGTATTATCCAAGGTTGAGATGGCAGGTTGAACTCTAGAGAAGAGGGTCAGGACATCTGCTTGGATTGAATGTGAGGTATAAGGCTATGGAGATCTATATTCAGAAATTGTGGAAAGAAATTGGCAGTCCCCAATTTTACTTACTAAAAGCTAGAATTTTACCTAGCAATAGCACGCAAAAAATATAAAATAAAATAAAAATCAAACACGGCATTAGGTAAGGGTACTACTTTTAATCTTTAGAGATGGACTTCAATGCTATAAATTCAATAAAGAAACAATAGATAAAGCATCAAACAAAGCATCAAATAATGAGGGAAAAATCAGCCAGGAAAATAATCTCACCTAAATTTCCAATGCCTCCCAATCCAATCTAAGCTTCTGATATTGTACTAGTAACGTCTTCATCATCATCTCCTTCCATCGTCGGAGAGAGGAGGATTCAACGACGACGGCAAGAGAATTGTTATTTACTGTTGAGAGAGAAAGAGATAGTTGTAGTTTAATGTGAACCATCTACATAAGGCCCAATGAAGGGGTCTTCTTATAAAATCACATATTTCCTACCTCACGCCCTGCTGGGCATTAATAAAATGATCAATATTAATCATCATATATTTGCAATAAATGTCATATTGTCATTATTTTTGCTTTTGCAGGTCGCACGTCTCTGCACTACTTTCTCTGATGAATCAAAATTATTGCACGGACTCACAGTTTTTTGCAGGCTCAGAGAATTAAAGAACCGTGAACTATTAAATTGGTAGTCGAGTTCATGGTCCATATTCATTAAATTCCCATGACTTCCACAGGGAAGTCCAACAAAAGAAATAAGTAGGGGTGGAATAGAACAGAATTTGAACGAATTGTGCAAGGTTCAAATTTGAGTTCGGTTTATATGGTGCTATTCGTGTTCGTATTCTATTCGAATAGTAATACAAATTCGAATTCGCTTCGTTTACTCATATTGATGTTCGAAAAATTTCGTGAATATTCGATTAGCATTATTCTGCAACTTTGATTTCGAATTATTCGTCAAATATTCGATATGTATTCGCTAATAATTCAAAAATCATAAAAAAAATAAATATAATCAGTAAACAAAAAGGTTTTTTTACCTTTCCAGTGACAAAAAGCAGAGAATCACGGTACGAAATCTCCAAGATCTGCAGAGAACGAGGGAAGTGGGCGTCGTCGCGGGGAGGAGGTCGTCGGAGAGGGAGGCGCGCAGGTCGTCGGAGAGGGAGGAGGGCGTCGTCTCAGGGAGGGAGGAGGGCGCCGTCGACGAGGGAGGAGAGAGTCGTCGCGGGGAAGGAGGAGGGAAACCCTAGCTGAGAGAGAGAGAGAGGGATTTGGTTGGAGGCGGACAGTGGAAACTCAGTGAAAACCCTATGTCCCTCTATGTCTTTTTATATGGGGGGTAGAATTTGTAATAAAAACTTTGATGGGTAATATTTACAACAAGTTTAATTAATAAGATTAACATATAAAAAGTTATCCAATAGTTAATAATCGGCCGAGTTGAATATATCTTTAGTTAGATTTTATTTGTTCATTAGCCGAATATTGAAAAATATTCATTTAATATTACATGCACTGTCGGATCGAATATGACCGAATATCTGGATGAATATTAACTGAATTGTTTATTAAATATTTGGTTCGCTTCCGCCCCTACTCAAAACGAGTCCGGTAAATCAGCCCCTTAATGACCAAAATGCCCCTCACCTCGGTTAGGGACTCTGAGGGAAAAACGTGGTCGGTGGATATTTGAGTTTGACCCTAGTTTGTTACTAGGATTTGAGAGATTTATGAAGAGTAATTTTATAAGGGATTAATATGTAAAATGAATCCTTTTCCTTTTCTTTTTCTTATCGGCCCCCTTGAACCAGTAAAAAAACAGTGTACCTATCCTGCCTCTGCAGCTTCACGTGCTGATGATATTTGTCGCGTGGCTTCTTGTCGTCCACCCGACATTGTATTTGTTTATTATTTTTTTTCAAAAAGTCTGGGCTTTGGGCTGTCGTGGGTTTTTAAGGAAGCATTTACGAGCACGGGTTTGAGATGTCGGATATACGTAGATAAAAAAAGCAGAGAATCTTGTTTTTAGAATTTATACTTATATTATTATTGAAAATTGAACAATGGATATTTAACTAGGCATAATTACATTCCGACAACTTGAAGTAGGGTGTAACTGGTAGACAAAAAATCAGAATTATTGATATTTATTAGAAAAATTAAATGAACAATTTTACCTACTTCGGGGAAAGTGTGGCAAACCATTGCTCTAAAGAGATATCTGACGATCTCGTGTAATCAGCCAAGGCGAAATATTCCTTAGTGGTACGATCCCTTCTCTACGGAACCCTAGCGTACACGACCACATTGGGCATGATGACCCTTTAGTAAGCAGCTAGAAAACTATACCAAAAATTTGATGGAGGAAGAAGAAGAAGAGAAAGGAGGAGTTTCTAGTTTCTGCGTACATTTTATCTCCTCACAAGGTCTCTTTTTATAAGGGAAAAAGAACTTGTTATGAAAAAATAGAAAGAGATCTTTTAGCCTTAAGAATTTCTCACGTTCCTAAGAACGTGAGAAAACTAACTAACTTCTAATAATTAATTAATTGATTAATTTAGTTTGTTACATCTTGGTATTTGATTTGTTGTTATTTATCCAAAAAAAACCCTCAAAGCAAATATCAAAGGTAGCAAAACAACAATTAAAAAAGAACAAAATTAAAAAAATGTATGAATGTGCATAAATTCTATGCATCAGTATAGGTGGCTTCCGACCTTGAACCCACACTTAGTAACATTTGTTGCTTTCTGAGGAAACCATAGTGAACCTAAGGTCTTGAATGAGGCTCCTTTATCAGAAATTAACAAAAGTACACATAGAATGCTTAGGGTCGCGGATTGATGCATTAATTTGGTCATGCACCTAATACCGACTCATGAGAATACATAGGAATAACTCTGACTTCTATAACTGCGGCCGCACAGTGATTCTCACCTAGGTGGATCCTCTAGGGATGTAAGAGACCGGAAGAATCCCGCTTTAAGTCATGTATTCATTAAGATTTCTATGACTCACCCTAGACCGATCTCTCTATGGAGCAACTCTGCCTTAGGATGAGGTTTGGAGTGCCTAGCTCCGATGTGAATCATGTTTCGCATGTATAATAAGAGTGCTCTCTAATGGATACATCTATCTCGTTTGTTTCTACCCTTTGAACTTCCTTCATTGATCACCTATAACAAAAGTAAGGTTCCCACCGTCGATGTTCCTATATATTTGGGCTTAGCTCCATCCCTTTTGCTGAATATTGGACCGAAGTCCTAGCTAGACCTTTTGTCAAATGATCTGACAAATTATGTTCTGATTGAACAAAGTCCAAAGTGACATATTGATTTAAGAGTCTCTTTATTGATTTATATATTATTTGGGAAGTCTGCTTAGTTTTGAATTTGTACTTTTCTGTTTGAGCAATTCAATTATAGCCTTACAGTTACAATGCACATAAATAGCAGGAATAAGTTTGTGTACAAGACAAATATCAAAAAGTATAATTCTAAGCCATTCGGCTTCAGTACATGCAAATGTCAATAGCTATCAATTCAGATTTTATTATATTTCTAACAATTACAGTTTGTTTAATAGAGTCTCATGCTATGATAGCTCCTCCTAGCATGAATACATAGCCTAGAGCCGATTTAACATCTTGAGAGTCAATTACCCAATTTGCAGCACTATAACCTTCTATTACATCAGGAAAACTAGTGTATAATAAACATAAGTCTAAGGTTCCTTTAAGATATTTAAATACTATTTCTAGAGCATGCCAATGTTCAATGCTAGGATTGCCAGTATATCTACTCAGTCTATTTACTGCATATGTAATGTCAAGTCTACTTCTATTTGTTATATACATTAGTGATCCTATTTGTTGAGCATATTTATGTTGTGAGACAGGATCTCCTAAATTTTTATGTAAAGAAATGCTAGAGTCATAAGGATTAGCTACATGTTTGCAGCCATAATAGTTAAATTTTCTGAGCATTTTATCAATTCATTGTTGTAGAGATAAAAATATGCCTTTATCACTTCTAGAAATTTTTATTCCTAATATCATGTCTGCTACTCCTGAATCTTTCATATCAAATTTGTTTGATAGGTAATTTTTGACATCATTTTTTACTTGTAGAGGTACATATGGTGATCTATGATAAGATACTTTCCAAAGAGCGACTCTCTTTGGTATACCACCGAGAGGATTGAGAGTATCATTTTTTTCTGTCTTTTCATTTTGAAAGGTTGCTTGGTTTTCCAATGCAAATGCAATGTCTAGCATAGTTGCATAATGATAATACCTTCATATCAAATTTCTATCCAATAAAGCTGAGTTTATTTCATGAAAGCTCCAAAATCCCAATTAAAATAACTTTCATGCTTTGTATTAATAGTTTTCACTTTTACTTTTTAAGTTTTCTTGTATATTCGGTGTCATCATACTGCCAATTGATTTAGACCCACTCCTAACTCCTCCTAATTGCGACTCTTCACTTCCCTTCATTCATGCCTGAATTATCTAAAACAGTTCTCCTTATATCCATGTGAGCAACCTCTTTAACTTACTACAAACTCTACTCTTTCCTTATCCTATATCTTAGGCTTTGTTCAGTCAAGAGGATTACAACATAGAAGTTTTGCATTTTAGAAGAGGAAAAAGCGAAACCTTATGTGTCATCCAAGATTTTTGGCGCTGCTCTCCAGGTTTTCAGTACCTCCTGGTTGAGCTATGTTACAAAAGAAGGACACACGCAGACCATGTTTTGTGCATAATTATTCTGGAACATAAGTTTAATTAATACTTTATATCATATTTCATACTCTACTAATCCCAAGATATAATATCGAGTCAAGCATGAATAGAAATATCATTATGAACTAATGTTCTAGTAAAAATTAAACACATTTCTTATTACATTAAAAATAAAATTGCACAACACATTGGGGCATTATAAGATCATGTTATATAATAAACAATCTCAATAGGAATCATTAAAAATAGTATGACAAATATTATATATGTGTGTGTGTGTGTGTGTGTGTGTGTGTGTGTGTGTGTATATATATATATATATATATATATATATATATATATATATCATTCTCCCTTTAAAAGAGGGAGTATAAGAAAAACTTTTCCTACCCCAAAATGCCCTTCATCTATCATAAATTTTTAACAGAATTATCTTTTTTTATACGTTACTCCAAAATCAGAGATCAAGAGCCATAAATAAACCTGCGTCTGCACCTGTGTTTGCTTCATCGTCGGAAAACTCAACATACCAATCAGTTGAATTTGCCTCTTGTTAAAACCATCAAAATGAAACGCATAATATCATAACCTGTAGTTAAGGGATATAAACCATTTCTATGTTTTACCTTTCAAAAATAAGGAATTTAGTATGCTTTAAACAAGATGATTTAATCTATTAGATCAAGTATGTGCAGCTTCCTCATGTTAATCACATAGACTATCAGCTCATAAGCATACCTGAAAATGGTTTTATACCTCTGTTTCAATTATCTATTTGTTTGAGCTTATACTCTGTCGATTATTTTAGATTTTTTTTGTTTATATTCAGATGAAATGTTATTTACAACTTAACGGTGTGATTTATTTCCATTTGTGTCATGTTTTTTTGTGGAATCTGTTCCTTTAAGATTTAGTGAAATTTGATAGAAACTTGTTGACATTTGGTCATTAAGTCCGTGTAGCATATTTGAATACTCATTATAAGATTTCATTTTTAATCAACTAGGTTCCTATATTTGTGTGACCTGCTTTTCATTACAAAGACATTCATAATAGGATTAAAAAAACACAGTTGAAGGATATGAATTTGGGATGGCAGTTAGTCCTGTAAATTTCATCAGGCGTGTAATTGAGAGTATCACGACTCATTTCTATATAATGCCATATTATTAGGTAGTGGTTATGTGCTTTTATAGAATGCCATATTACTTATTGAATATTTTTCCTCCCCTCAATGCGCCGAAGTACCTCGCAAGTAGATGAAATTGAGTCAATTTAGGAATAAAATCATTTTTGTTATTATATGGATATTTTCATAAACATGTGACTTCAATACTATAAAAAACTATTGGTTTCTAAAAATTAAACAGATACTTAAGCTTCTCCATCCAAGTTAGGAGGATGTGATTTTCTGTATTTAACATAAAACATGAACTTTGACCAGCATAAGGACGGAGTTATCCAATAGGGTGGATACGAAACTTCAGATGTTAACAACATCAATAGACTCATGCAGAGAAAGTAATCAAAATACAAGTATCTACTTAGAATATGC